GCAGTTTCTGAAGCAGTAGTGAAAGGCGATTCGGGAGATTTCCTTACGAAGAAGCTGGGTCAGCCAGAAACCCTGCAGGAGGACCTATCTAATCAGTGTCACTATGGCTGTTTGTGTTCATGTACGCTAAGCCAAACGTATTTTTCCAACGAAACAAATAACTCCGTGTTCTATTCTTTTTGATTTAGGTTCACAATCGATCGAGCATCGGTGAAGTTGTTCTCGCTAGAAATTTGTACCACTCTTGTCAGCTCGAATCGATCTGCCTGTCGCTTAATCTCGAGTGTCTTTTCCCTTAGAAGTAGTCGCTTGCTCAGTCAGGTCGTGCCGTCATACAGGCTATATATCGTCGTGTGCGGCATTTCTAGACAGTTCTGTGCCAGCTTGGTATCCCGTCGTGAGGATTGCTTTACATATTATGTATTGGTGGACGTGCATTTTCTTTGATTGTTTTGGGGTTGCGGGGCTTTGCATCTGTTTGTACTATGTTATAGTGTAGGAAGAAGATAGCTCGAAAGACGAACGTGCACATTCACAGACGCAGATACAGATGTGCACAGAGTCTTGGCAGCATAATAGTGAGAGTCGAATTTTCAATGAGGTTCCTTTTCGCCGGTGATTTGCAGAAGGCTAGGTGTACTCGCTAGTCTTCTTGATGCCGTTGCACCCGTTGTTGGGGTCGCCGTTGTTGTCCCATTTCGTAGTGTAAATGTACACACAACGGGAGAAGACAACGATCTCCGTTCGAGGTTAGGCCCTTGTACTATTAAGGGGTATGACCTACTAGCTAGGAGGTTAGCGTGTTTTACTATGTTGGATAACGTTAAGTAGCAAGCGCATGCAAAGCGTAACGAACGACTATATTCAAACAGAAAAGGATGGGCAGAAGCCTTCAAAAACTCATATAAAATAATCTTCTATTGGAAAACGAGTTAAAGCTAGCTCCATAATAGCGACAGCGCAGGCACCACTCATAACTGGGCATCGACGCCAGCAAGGACATGGGTAGCGAGTATGTCCTTGAAGGCACACGCTCCAAGCTGCAGTCCGGTGAAGTTTTAGCGAAACACCCAGAGCAGCAGTTGAGATTTTGATCAGAACACTGTGTCCCCGATAACTCAGCCTCATCAGGTTAAAAGCTGATGGCGGGTAAGTAGTACAGGCACGGGTTAGACCTCGTTTTCGGATTGGTTAACAGCAACGAAAAGCTGTGCCAGGAGAGAGCTGTCGAGCGCGTATGCTTCGAATGGGCGCGTACGGCAAATGGACGCTGTGTCTCAGGGTGGCGAAGTAAAAAGATCCAAGGACGAACTAGAGAAGTCGCTCGTGCCTCGTCGTTTGCAAACTTGCCTTTGGACGACCTCAGAGTTCATGCCGTGAAGAAAGGGGGGAGCATGCCGTCCGATCAAATGCGCCGTTGTCTGTCGAACGATCTGAATGGTTTTAACATAGTAGCCCTGTAAGCCTGCTATATAGCAACAGCTATCACCGTTAACGCATCTGCTTGCTTTTTTTAAAATCGGAGCCCATGCATCGCCAGTTGTCGGCTGTTTAAACCAATGAGTTGATGGTGACATTAGATAAATCAACTTCGCTTTGCCTTAATATAGGTCGAGGTGGATGCAAGCGAAAAGCATGGCCATTCAGTCTGTTTGGGTCATCCTAATACCATAGCGCTAAATTAAGGTCGATGGGAAACATGCAGATAAGCGTTTAGGTCAAGCTGAGTCATGACGACGTCATTAATGCTGGTTGTATTGTTTGCAATGCGTATGTAACTTCAAAGTCTTGTTACTCTGACAAAGCATTATTGATTTGATATGATTTCAATATATTGCATTTCAACATTGTTTAGTTCACCTAGCTGTATTGAATCGCGCCACGTATTACATATCGAATGATATCCTTCAAGCAGAGGACGATCAACTACCTAGGCTCATTATTCTTTTTCTGTCCCCCCAATCGTCTGAGGATACAAGTGATTATGCAATAATACGCCTGGAGGCTCTTGGACCCACGCGTATCCACAAGTAATTGCGAAAACCTCTGCTGCCACTACTTCAGCGGACGCATAATAAGATACTTTGTACTGTCTTCGCCAATGAAACTTATTGTTTCTACATAACGGACAGATTTTCTGAAGCAGGCTGGTAAAAGTCAATAGGTTGTGTTCGGCCGTCTGTCGTGTTCGTCCACAGAAAAAACTGCCTCCCATCTAAACTTTATCTATATATGCCGCTGCAAACCGGCGAATACTGCCAGTGCTTACGGCCTACTTAGCTGGTTCTGATTAGACCCCGGTGGGTCCATGTCCTTAACAGCGTATTCTCTACTACGAAAATTCTTTAATCTAGTTGGTTGTCATCTTCAGTGGTCGGTCGACAGCTACGGTCGTCCGGGAAAGTCCGCTGAGAGCTATCAAAAAGAGAGAATGAAAGGCTCTATATATGTGAAGTGAGAGGAATTATTCGTCGCAGGCCTAGGGCCTTAAGGGCGTTGCTACTGCTACCACCGAGAGTATTGATGAAGAGGACCGAATGACTAATTGAAACGATGGCTATTATATGGCACATTAACAAAATCTGTGCGCTTAAAATCAATGAGACAGGACGCAGCGTTAGAAGTGATATCGTAGACCAAATAGCCATCTCGTAACCGGAAGTAGTAGCGGCATGATGCCCTATGTGGATTTTATAGCCAGAAAAGGGCTTCTTTTTGCCATAATACTTAGCCACTCCGATGATACATTTATGTTCCTTGATAAAAAGAATGGTCGACTACAGACTCTCTACATGTCGTTTGTTTGGGCAAGTGTGTGCTATATTATGGTAAAATAGACTACGGTAAAACAGATCTTTGATTAGCATTGATTAAGGTTTATACCTTCGATATAACGTGTCAAGCAATGGCACGTATCGGAGTTGTCTATGTTCAATAATGCCTACAATCAGGTAGTTGTATCTGTGGGACCTATGCTAGCTTCGACCCAATACCTTGGAGACCCCATTTCACTACTGATGTCAGAATAGTAAGGTTTTAAAACCTTACTATTCTGACATCGCTCTGTTGTAGTTGTCTGGGCACCTAGTACAGCGTAGCTGATTTTGTTGTTGCTGTTGTCGTCGTAATCCAGGCATGTGTACGACATGTTCATCCTGTTTATGAGATTTCTGGGATGTGTCGCCCTTGGGCCAACTCAAACCCAGGGAGAAAAATCAATCCACAATAATAATTAGCTATTATTATTATTTTCGGTTGATCGAGTAGCTTAGCGGGGTAATAATTAGGTCGACTAAATGCATCGGAATCCTGCCAGCCTAATACCTGCCTTCTAGACTGAAAGCTATAGTTGCTTTATATAGGTTTTCTGCTACACTCACGTATTTTTCGCACAGTAGAGGTGGATATGGAAAAAATCATGGTCACCTCTGCATGTGAAATGTCGATGGTTAGTGATGATAACGTGGGAATTACTAAATGTAACCTTCGATTTTGATATCTCTAAGGATTTTTTCCATTGTACATGCTATTGTATATGTCGACTTGCCCCAGCCAGACCTTTCGAAAGTCAACCATATGTGGCACGTCTTCTATAATGTTTTCATACAGGAAGACTGCTTGATGCAGGTGTAGCCGCTGATCTACTAATCCATTCTAGACCAGTCTGTTTCTCGGTGTGCCTTTAAGTCAGCTTCTCGGAAAAATCATTTTTGTCAAACGTTTGAGAGCGCAGGACGTTCGACGCCTTTGTGGCCTTCATATATATATATATATATATATATATATATATATATATATATACTTGTACCAATCATGATAGATAAGAGAATTGATTTTGTTCTCAGGAACTATGCCATAAAGAGTTAAGTACCGCTGATTTTTTTTATATTACACACTAACTATCTACTGGAACAAAAGACACTGTTGGCAAAGCTGTTTTTTAGTCTCTTTTGGTTAATATCTGAGATTGTCGCACACAGCGAGCGAGACAACGCTGGAAAATTTATTTGTGCAGATTGCCCTTTTGTCCAAAGAGTGGAAACTTCTATGAATTGTGTGTTTTAGTAAAATGAAAATAGAAAAATGGACGAAATATTAAACATAGCCATTGAGAAAGGTTCGCAAATCATAGTGGAAAACGTGTGATAAAACTAGCAGCAGCAGTAGACCTTCGTTCATGTGACAAATTTAGATCTACTAAATGTTGGTTTCGATCGATACCTTTCTATGCAGTATAACATAATGTACTATCATAATTAAAAAGGTGCATTTTTATGTAAAAATTTACCTTCAGTAAATCAACAAATATTAGTCAGATATTGAACGGGAGCGTGAGGCTCGGACTGTATTTATGGCGTACGCCTACGTCTACTGGTCGTAAATGCTGGTCCCGAAAATGAACCCTGAGATCATTCTAGTTAACAGAATAGCGCTACTAAAGTGATGATCAAATGAAACTTATCCATAGTAATACCGATGGTAACTATTTGAGAGTTTTATATAGTTTTCGAACAGTATAAAAATATCGCAAAGTTGAGTATAAGTTCGATAAAAACCACGAGTAAATGATCATTATCGTACTTTGCATAACTGGGCGACCCCTTTTTGCCACACAACAGTTGTTTACGTGAACTGATGGAACAGAACGTTGTTACAATATGTGTTTAATACAAAATCGGTTGGCACATTGAGTAAGACCAACTTATTAAACATGTTTACCTTTACGAAGAAGATCAATAAATAGCTAGCAGAGATTATAGCTCAAATACTCTATTTTACTTTCTTACTGTGGATTCAGTCAGAATTAGGTCTCTTATATTGTAAAGCCAAATCCTTTTCGATTCGATGTATACTAAATATGTAGATCTTGTTAAAAAGTTATAGCATTGCCGCTAGGTCAACTGCCATGTGTCTGTGCCAACTTTTCTAAATTATTCCACTTCATCTTTAGCCGGTTGTTACACCGAAATCGCTCCTAACATTATGGTTGTCTCTTTCAGCTGCTACGGCCATGTTGACTTTAATCTAAAGTCAATTTGCTCTGGCGGATTAAAGCTAGCGTGGAATGGCGTGAGTAGCGATCTCTCGTAAGTTGCAATGACCGCTTACGTGTTCTTTACTACTTTATTGTAACATCTGTTGCTGCTGCATCGGCATTATGTGTTGTATCTATCATTAAATGATACTCATTAATTAATCGAATCTACGTCCTAACGTTGAACGAACGTCAGAATGGATGGAATAATTATTATTTATATATATATATATAATAAGAACTATAACACTCTTCAGTGTAAACGGCGATCGATAATTATAGGTAGTATACGATACGATTACGCTTGCGAAAAGCGAAAGCTCCATTCGCCCGATCAATTTAGATGATTTCGTTTTTTTCTCTGTAGAAGACTTAAACTCTCAACGTCAGTATCCAGTGCAGCTAAAGGGCCCTCTGCCCATGGTGCGCCCGCCGGCGCTACTTCAACTTCTAGAGTAATTCGCATTGTACATTCCTAGCTTGGGAATACGCAAGGGCAATTTTCCGAGGGCAAGACCAGTTGATAGAGTAGTCGTCATGTCTGTTACTGCTATTTTTCCTAGAAGATCAATCAAAGTTACACAGCCATTGGAGTCATGTGCCACACCTGGATCGAAAACGACTAGCTTTTGGCGGTTTTACCCTGCCCCAGTATACATTGCACTGTTAACATCGTATAATGAATGGCTAAACTCCGTTCACTATTGCTATAGAACATAGCGGCACAGTACGCTGGGTCCGCTGCATACGCAACGAGCCATCACCTTCGCGTTGCTGGCTGGTTCGCTCTCGCGTTGGTCTCGTTGCTGTCAAGCGTCGCTGGTAAGGAGGACGCTCGGAGCTTGGAGCATCAGGAGGAGGGTAAACCTTAAAAAATAAAGTGCTCCCGCCCGTTCTCTCTCCTTTTCTTTCGGCTTCAACAGACAGACGGCGAGACGGGCAGCCGGAGCGTGCAGGATGCAGGCCAGCAGTGCCGCCGCTGGCTCACTGGCATGACTCATAAAAAGAGGTGCTCTTCTTACTTTTGGCCCTGATGTGCTGTATGCACAGGGGGTTGAGAGTATACAGCGGCGGCGATATCGGCTGCAGCGGCCGCATTGCTTGTGAGTCTTTCTGTCTGTCTGTCGGTTCGTTGTGTGCGTATGTGCTATGTATACTATATGCGAATGCGTGTGTGTGTGTGTGTGTGTGTGTATATGTGGGCTTGTTGGTAAGGCTGCGAGACTCAGCCTGCTAGCCGATCTGTCAGGGGTCGAAGAAGGGAAGGCTCATCGGGGGATGTCTGAGACAGGCTTCGAAACTGGGCAATCCTCCCCCCCCCCCCCCCGCGGACGCATGGGGACCGAAGGGGAAACGCGGTGGGGTGGAGACAACACAACACAACAACAACAGCAACCATTCAGCGGCCGCGGCGGCAGCTGCAGCATGCTGGGCACCAGAGGCAGCATCTAGCATCTCGTAAGGCACAACGCGCCCTGTAGTACCCGCCGTCGTCGTTGTAGTAGCGGGGCGAGTGGTACTAGTCGCAGTAGCAAGCCGGCAAGTAAGGAAAGAAAGGGGACAAGATCCTCACAAGCATCCCTCTGTGTTCCTCCGGCTCGGTCTGGCCCAACTCCGCCGTCACTCCCGGGGGGAGCTAGTCTTTCTGGATTTCCCCGTTGGTTTCTTCGTTTTCACTCCAACGCAAGCGTCCTTTCCTTAGCGTTGGTTCTTGGTCACAACGCTGCGCGGTCTTGCGTCCTTTAGCCTGTTCGGTGTACGAATGAAGCTCTGCCTGTTTAAGCTCACACATGCTGTGTTCATCGACATACACCCGAGCGTCGATGGAAGAAGCAGTTGAAGAAGAGGATGCTGACGCGTAGAGAGGGGCGGGCAGTCCCATAGCCACAGAGTTGCCCCCAAAAACGCCGGTCACAGAACGCCTCTCTTTCAACCGTCCCTTGAGCTAGCCCCTCCAAGCTCGTACCATCTCCTCTGCATCTGCCCCGTTACCGCTCAAAACAGAAGGGGATTTTTTTGTTTATTTTTTGGCTGCGTCCCCTTGCTGCTGCCAATAGCAACCAGGCAGGCAAGCAAGCACCACAGGCCAGAGGAGAACGAAGAAACGGGCACCCAAGCTGGCTGAGCAGTAGCAAGCCCTCTTGATTCGGCATCCTTCATGCGGACGACAAGCCGGCTCGAGCCGCCAACGGAATAATGGCCAAGTACGCCAGTGGTAAGAACCCGAACGGGTGTCCAAGCTCGCAGATTATGCGATGCCAGCTACAACGCAGGCAGCCACAAAAGCTCAGTGCGGCAGTGTTAGCCTGCTTAAGAGAGAACAAGAACAGAAAAAGGAACAAAAAGAACGGGGCAAGTAAAGGGCATAAAAGGGTCGTTCGTCCCTTTTCGACATTTGTTGTGCACTTCTACAGTGCCCAATGAGTTCAGTCCCTGCCTTTCGTATGATTTAAAACAATCGAAGACTAGTTGGACCGCTGTGAAGTTACTACAAACGTTGTTACCTTACTTTCACAAGCTTGACAGACACCAACGTGTTCGGTGCGACGGGGCACCATTGCTTAAGGGGAATTGCTCATGGGGCTGCTTGATTGGCCGAAGCTGGGGAACCATAGCACGAAGAAGTAGCTGCTAAGTAATATAGAAAAATGAAAGATAGAAAAAGCAAATGAAACAGACTAGCATAACTTTCAATAGGATAATCAAAAAATATTAAAGAGGAAAATAAGAACGTATCAGCGGCTATGTCAATTATAACGGTGTTAAACTGGAAGTAGTGACAAAAGCATAAGTACACATACGTGATGATTAATCGTGACCGACGGCTAAACGAATTACCCTTGAAATGAAAATGGGCGAGTTACAAAAAAACATATCATTCCTGATAAAGCCTGCAAAATGGTATCCAGGTTGATTTTTTTTCGTACATGCTGAGATAGCTCACAGAAGTGTGCTACAAACCCTCCCTGCTTAGTGCTTATATGATATTCCAGACATGGTTTGCAGATCGATTCCCTCTCGTACCTACGTATTATTTAGGTTGCAATGAAGGATTTTTGCGTCTATTATTGCGACAAAGCATTATGGCAGCATTGTTGCGTTTCGGGTAATCTGCCAGTGGGCCTGCCACTTTTTTTTTCAATATGTCTAGTCCTCCTGTTTGCAATCAAGTTTGTGGCGTGGCCGTATTTGCGTTTGGATCGGCCCTCTTGCAGCCTCAGGGGTAATTTTTGGTCCAGCAGGTTTTCCATTCATAGAACCTATGGCATGCTCCGGCATATTCATGAGACCGATGCTGAACTACTACCGACATCGCCTTTCGATGCCCCAGCGCCTGTTGTCGATCATTTCAATATGAGCCGTCATTCCCCTTTAACGAATTCTTATATGGAGCAACTGATGGCTTATACAATGTAAAACATATACTTGCTTCAGCTACTGCTCGATGGTTCCGTTGACGCTTTGTTTGTTGTGGTTCCGGAGCGTTGTCTTCTCTTCTGACGTTGATCTTGGCCGAACGGCGACACAGTCAGACATGCAGTAGTCTTTCGAAGAATAGCGGTAGACGGCAGCGGTGATAGGTTTCGAACAACTTAGAGCGTCAAACGATCTGGGTAAATCCGCATGTGCGCCCATCGCATAAACGGCCATAGCCCATAGTTATGGACGGCATTAGAAAAAGCCTATGCATATATAGACCGACGAGAACGCTGGCGGAGCAGGGAACGGGGCAAAATGGGCAGACATCAAAGGCCAGTCAGCGAAACGCCATGCGGGGTCTTTGAAAGGGGGTCGCCGTGGTGCGGTGGACGAATAGAAACGATATACATATATATATACAGAGACACATATGGACTTGAATGCAAGTCAGTGGTTCTGATGTTGCTGCTATTTCTGCACACATACAACCCGATGGATGCATAAGCAGTCGAGCATAAGGCCGCTGTTTTTGTATGGCCGACGCTGATAAATGGTGTATATCTCCAGCGGCGCCAGGAGCACGCAGGAGGCTGGCAGTCAGCGGCCCAACAGCTCAACATTTTGAAGACATCGCTTGCTGCTGATGGCCCGCTCGGTGCCCCCGCTGCATGCAAAGGGGTCAACGGAGAGTGCAGCTTCTGCTGCGTTTCTTCGATATCTGTCTATCTTTTCCTTCTCATCTCTATGTATATATATATATGTATCGGGAACAAAGGGACCACTAAGATGCGCACCCACACTTACCCAGCCTTAGCTGTCGGCCGGCAAGTTCAGTACTACTTACTAGCATGAACGTTCAACTGCGACGAGGAAGCGTCAGCGGCGCAGGTTCGGTTGCAGTGGACGACTTAGCGATTGCATCGCCGGTTGCGTTATGAGCATTAGACGTCGGCCAACAAGACGAAAATAATAACGACGACAACAAGGATAAAAGAAAAACAACAAACTGCTCAGCTGGGTGACTAAAAAATGCTTCGAATTCGCGGTAGCGGCAGTGCCGCGATCGTGGCAGCTGTACGGCTCCGCCGCGCAACGCCGAACACCGTACATTTATGTATAAATAGCCCTAGATTGAAGGACGATGTAGTGTGTAATGGTCGGTCGTTGGGCGGATCGCCACGACGGCAAGAGCACTCATAGTTGACTCGACGAATTCACTTTACCGACCACCCCGCTGCTGCATGCTCTACCATTGGTACGAGCAGAAAGTGCACACCTCGAATGATGCGCTGGCCGTACTCGTGCTGCTGCTGCTCTTGTTGATCATCGTTACTTCAGCGGGAATTTTCTTCGAAGTTGACCCAAGTAAGGGGGAGGCGATGCTGGGATGCGTGGCTCTTCTATCCCCCTTCCTTCTCCCTCTTTCTCTCTCATGTTTTCCTTTACTCGTTTGTTAGTCAGTAAAAAATATGCCCGATTTCGAAATGGCGCACTGGCCGCCATTGTTGTTTTTGATAGCGTCATATAGGAGCAGTGGCATCAGCGTCCAGAATAGGTAGCCGTAGTAGCAATCCCACGTGTCGCGCGACCGAACAAGAGTTAACACACAGTGCAGAGTAACATTAACTGTAA